TGTCTGTTAGAAAAATATTTAATGAACTACAAAATAGATTTAAACAAAACTTTCAGAATGTTATCATTGGACCTACAGCTACAATTGATTGACATTTGGAATCATTTTTTAAGAAAGCTATCTTAGCTAATCAAACTCTACCAACACATAAATGCCTTTAACTTGTTCAAAAATACAGAAAATGAGGTGAAAATAATGTGGCAGTATTATAATTACCCCAAAGAAATTTTGAGCATTAACACGTGTCACAAGATGTGGTKTGAATTTAAATGTTGTCATAAAAGGAGGTGGGCAATAYGCATCCCTTCAAAGAATACTGAGACTTTCATTTATTGATAGTTGAAGTAATTTTAATTACCGATATGAGTCCTTAATCAGATCCATTGTAAATAGSTAAAGCTCTGAGCAAACGCCAAGAATGGTTTAGATAAAAACAAACAAATAGGAGGGAAAGCACTTCAAATAACACAAGTTCCAGTCATTTATCATTCAGCTCCATTAAACCTGAGAGGTGGAGGCAGGACTGAGCAGTCAAAGGATCTCTGTTGTTAATCTAATCTACAACAATTCTGCAGCGGCCATTTTCATTTGACTTACAGCACAAAATAACTAAAAACAAGTCCTGAAACTTTTTTTGCATTAAAAAATTAAGCCATAAATACGTAAAAGCTTTATTTAAAACAAAACTTAAAATGCAGTTAATTACCTGTGGCTTTTAATGAGCCAACTTTTACACAGCAGACATTAAGCTAAAAAGGCTACTTTAAGTTAAATCACCAATAAAGTTTGAGCACTCCTTGAAGGATTGCTTATCGCCCAACACCTTTTAATGCCAGTGTTTGGGATTAAGATCATCAAACCTTGTAAATAACATTAATCACAAACCCATGTGATCTTGCAGGATTTGCTGGCTGACTCCCGGCTACTTCCACACCAAACTGTAGCTGAACATCTGTAAAATTCACTGAGCTTCAGTCAGTTTTGTACGGAGCCCACGAGGAGACACAGGAGATTTTTTTTCTTTTGCGTTCCCACGCAAAAGTATTGTGTTACCTTGCAATACCTTTTGCGTTCCCTCGCAAAACTCATTTATCACCGTTGTGCCTGCCGTTTTATTAACAAATTCACATGTTCACCATTGGCGAGTTCGCCTACTACTTTAATTCAGCTTCAGAATGAATATATTATACAACCACACATAGAAGTATGTCATATGCCGATATCTGAACACAGTGTAGCCACGCAACATCAATGTCAATTTCACGAACTGTAGCGACACATCCTGTTTTGGTAACTGGATATTTCATAATAAAAGTCTGATTTAATTCACTTCATATACTAAACAAACTTTTACGTTGGAACGCAAAATAATTTTGTGAGGTAACGCAAAAAGTTTTGCGAGGTAACACAATATTATTGCATGGGAACTCAAAAGAAAAAAAAATCCCCCCATGTCCCCTCACGGGCTCCATAGTCTTGTGCATGCACAGGTCAACTGCGTGTGTCAATCATCTTGACCCGGGRTGACTTCAACTGTTAATCAGTTGTAAATATGCAATATGTAGTTACCTTCTGGGATTTCCATTTAATTATGTCTAGTGGTTCATGAGATATTTTGCTAACAGACAAACTGAGCTGAGTCCAACAGTTAATGTCAAGCAAATACGTTGCACAAGCTGTTAAGCTCAAAGACTTGGGTTGGGGATGATGCTCAGCTATTACCACATTACCACAGTTATTGCCATTTTTATATTTTCTACTATCAGTTATAACTGGTGGCTTTCTTGACTTGAGTTGGCRCCATACGTTAATCAGTTGTAGATGTGCATTGATTACGTTCTGAATTGTTCATTAAAATCCATCCAGTGGTTCAATAAATATGTTGCTAACTCACAGACAGAGTTAYTGTTATTGTTGTTTAGAACACAGATCATGTGATCTGTTAGGGCACAAGGTATATGCTGAAAATCAGTCAGCTACTACCACGCCAAATTCTATATCAATATCTGTAAAATTCATCGAGTTAGTCATTTTTGTGCTGGCTAAGATCACTTTGCTGTGGCAGCCATCTTGAAYCGAGTTGACTCCAAAACTTGATGARTAGATGTTAAGAAAGTGATTATTTTCTGAAAATTGCATTTAATTCTGTCCAGTAGTCCACAAGATATTTTGCCAACAGGCAAACACACACAGACACAGGCAAAAAAGCATAAAGCGTAAACCCCAGAAGTGTGCTGAAACTTCCCCCAAAGGCTGAAGGAAGTAACTTGTCACTTGAGATGGTAAAAGGCTTGTCGAACGTTCTCTGTCACAAAAAGTAATGCTGCCCTTTAGACATCAAGTTAGAAGTGAAGTGCCAAGTCCACACAGAGCGATGTGCTGCTGCATGCRGGCCTTGATTTTTCAGAACGGAGCACAAAAAATATTTCTCATGAAGTGAGAAACCCATATCCCTGGTGGAAACAAAATAAATAATTTTGGTACTGAAGTTCTACTCTATTTTGGTTGTGAAGCTGTTTGACACATGCGTTCCTCCTCCCTTCTGCTGCTGCTGCCTCAGCCCTGCTTTCATCGGCTGCCTTTTGTCAGTGCTGACACCATTTTCATAAAAAGCGAGCTCACTGTCAGCTCACAGTGCTTCAGATCTAAAGTGTTGTTTTTTTTTATGCTCGGGAAAATGTGGCCTCGAGAATCGCAATCAATGTAGCCCACCCAGAAAGTATGGAAATGGGTTTCATCGACCATTTAATCAATGGACATCATTTTAAGTCTCACATCAGCCCTTTTGTGTCTGGATACTTGAGTAGGAGGTTGACCTAAAACAGGTGTGTCAAACTCAAAGCCAAAATCTAAAAGCGCTTGGCTAATATGAGTTGATATTTTCAAAAAATATATACATAAAATATATGTCAAATTATTCATATTGCCTGTTATGGATTAATTATTAATTATGTATATCTGTTCTACCTTGACACTGTCCAGTAACCATATCTTATTATAACCAGTTTCGGCTGTTTTACTCTATCAGCCCAGACTTCAAGACTCCAGAAATGCATGACCTCTCTTTATTTTGATAAAGTAGATCCCGGGCTGAGAGCCCTGTTATTGGTTGGATGGTTACAGCTGTTGAATTGTGATTGGTTGTAAACTGTCACATGATGTTATCATGATGTATATTGTTGGCTGCTTTCCGCTGACGCGCTCAGCAGATTTCCTGATTGGCTGTCCGCTGTGTTGTTGCTCAGAATTAAATCATTTTGACGACCATACACGCAGACTTTCTGTGCATTTATTCCAACGTGTTTCTGCATTCTTGGTAAATCATACCACGACAGATTTTGGCGTTGTCGGCAGGATCAAATGACATTTATACAGAATTTAGAACAAACACTTTCCTCCGTTCATGATGTTTTGCTACACACTTGATTCCGGTAGTTAATGCCAAAGTTTAAAGACCGTGTTTGTGTGATCAGTTAGTGATCAGAGTATATGGCTGGCTMCTCCGGTGCAGGACTTTTTTGGAACAGGAACAACATGCTGGAAGTAAAGTATTGATGGAGTAACTTTAGTATCGATACGGTCTGARAAGTTACTATGAWRAAATTYAATGGATTCTCAGTCATTCAGATGGAAAATTAAAAGAAAAAATATCAAGYAACAAGACTTCTACCCTGTAGCTGAAGACAAGTGGAGCTGCAGATTTAAACAGCACAACTCGAGGTCATTATTTTTACATTGATAGATCCACTCAGCCCCRTCTGTCAGATGAAAGGTGACAGGAGAATTCAGACTGAGGTCGCTTTGAAAAAAAAACATATGTTTCTATTTACAACATACAAATAAGATCTTGGTCAGATTTGAAAAAAAAAATATCTGATTTGTCACATTCAGATTGTCTGGAAAAACTCTGATATGGGTCAGAGGCAAAACATCAGTTTGGGTCACATTTGCCTGCAGTGTGAATGTAGCCTTAGATTGTTGGGTCTGTTTAACAACATTTAAAATGTTATCTCGTGGACCAAATCAAATTCTTACTCACAGACCTTCAGTTGGACAGATCTGACCTTGTGACACTTTTCTGCTGACTGAGCAGGAATGGATTTTGCTGATCCTGACTATCAGACAACTCAGAATTYATAATGAGGTGCAAAAAAGCAATAATTAATTCAACTTTAAAAAGGCTCCTCAGTGGTGCCGTAGAAACATATCAAATGATGAAACAGACACTCATCAGAGTTGTAAAGTAACTAAGTACAAACACTTTGTTACTGTACTTATGTAGAAATTTTGGTTATCTGTACTTTACTTGACTAATATTTTTTCAGTGTACTTTTTACTTTTACTCATTACATTTTTACACAAGTATCTGTACTTTCTACTCAACATTTTTTTTAAAGGTAAGAAGTAGAAAGTCGTTACTCCGAATTATTACTAAAAAAAACTTTCCTGATAAATTGTGTCTCCTGGATAGAGTGAATTTAATTATGGTTGGATGAGAAGTATAAATATATACCATTCTGACATCCTATTAGCTTGTACACAGCCCATCACAGCTGCACGCCATTAGAAAAAAATATTTTTTGGAGAAGTCAACTCCCAATAAATGTTATTTTGGAAAATCTAACTGCTCAGTTTTACTCATTACTTTTATTTTTAATACTTTAGTAGATTTTGTGTCAGAAATGTACTTTTGATACTTAAGTATAAAAAAATATCAGATATTTTAATACTTTTATTCAGGTAATATTTTTAGAGAAGACTTTAACTTTTATCAAAGTATTTTTATGATAAGATACTTGTACTTTTACTCAAGTATCACTTTGAGGTACTTTATACAACACTGACACTCAGACTGATGCAGATTGAGTTCTTGAGATGGTGATAGAAATAAATGCATGTGGGAAAAATGCGCACTTTGAAAACCAACATGGCTCACAAGTTTCATGCGCAAAAGTGAGCTTCCTGTGTTTTTAAGGATTTTTCCGGGGGGGCAATCATACCTTGATGAGTTTGCACCTGATCTGCGCGGACACCATGTGGCTGTTCCGCAGGTTCCCCACTCGGAACATGAGGCACAACTTTCCATCCCGCTGCGAGACCACCGCGTCCTGGCTGAACATGAGCGTCTCGGCGCGCTTCTTGGGCTGCGACATCTTGATGAACATGCAGCCGATGAGGAAGGCGTCCACGATGGAGCCCAGCAGCGACTGGAAGAGGAAGAGGATGATGCCCTCGGGACACTTCTCCGTGATGTAGCGGTGGCCGTAGCCGATGGTCGCCTCGGTTTCGATGAAGAAGAGGAAGGCGGAGGGGAAGTTGTACACGTTGGCCACGCACGGCGTGGAGGAGCGCTCGTGGCCGCCGTGGCTCAGGTCTCCGCGGATGTACGCGATCACCCACCACATGGAAGCCATGACGAGCCACGCCACCGTGTAGGTGAGGATGAAGATGAGCAGGTTCCAGCGCCACTTCAGGTCCACCAGCGTGGTGAAGAGGTCCGACAGGTACCTGCTGGTCTCCCCGCCCAGGTTGCCGTGCTGCACGTTGCAGCGGCCGTTCTTCTCCACGAAGCGCTGCCGCTTCCTCTTCACCGGCGCGGAGAAGGTCATGGTCCGGCTGGTGTCCACCACTTGGCAGTCCTCGCCGAATTTCCTCCGGACGGCCGACATGGTGCCAGGGAGGCTGCTCGGAGACGAAAGGTCGGGGGGGCTTGTTGTGCGCAATGGGGGGGCGGGGATCAGGCTCTTTGCGCAACTTTTAGCTCGTCCATGACCAGGCTGTGCGCGCCAGTCGCATCCTGAGAGATGGGGAGATGCACTGTGCCCCTYTCCCGGAGATTAGAGGAGCAGAGATTCTGCGCAATGATTCACGCTCCTTTTACGCAGGGAGGGACAACTTTTTGTC